GGCATGCCATGTCCTAATATACTTGAATAAAAACATCGCAACTCCCAAGATAGGGACTTTAACTTAAAAAAAAAAAATAATAATAAAATAAATTAGTAGTTTAATTAAATCTTATTAATTTTTAGTAATGATTAGTAAAGAATAATATATAAAGAAAACATTAGAAAAATAGGTATTAAGATTCTAGTAAACTTTACAAAAATAAAAATAATATAATATAATAGTTAAATAAATAAGTTCTGTAATTACAAGTATATATAAAATAAATAAGTTCTAGTAAGTCTTCTGTTAAAGATAAAATAATCTTAAAGATACTAATAAGAATCAGGAACTTGGAAAAGTAATGCTCTAAAGATGTTCTTGTAATACAAGATGAATTGCATATATAAAAGGTTTAAATAGGCAAGGCCTGTAATTGTTTTGCAGATATAATACTTAATATAAAATTTATATAGTAATGTATAAGCGAACTACTTAAATTAGACACCAAAAGTGCATGTGTGGCTAACTGTAACCTTTTATATAAGAACTCTTGGAAGCATCTGTGTTCTATAACTTAAATAAAAATCTCTTTCCAAAGGCAAGAACTTTAACACAAAAAAAAAAAAAACTAATTAATATCAAAATTTTTATTATGAAACTATCTTTTAACTTTTAACAAAAAAAATTTCTTGTACAATTTTGATATGAACTATATCTTGCTTAATTCCAAACCCATCCTTACTTTAACCATAAGCAAGGATTTAATTTTATTACAAATCAAATTTACTATGTTTTTTATTTGGTACGTATTATGTAAGTTATAAAAATTTTTTGTTCAAATTTTAAATTAGAGTTGTAATTAAATATTCTTATTTAATGCACTAAATATCAATCATTTAAAAATTAACATATCCGGTTAGAGCTTTTGTTATTCATATTCGTTACTTGAATAAGATTCGTATTCGGAAAAATCTTAGAATAAATCTTCTAAATAGTTATTTGATGAATAATCAAATATATATTATTCGAATAATTTATATTACGTATTCGTTATGTAAAACTTCAGTTATTGTAACTAATACATTGTTAGCTAATATTACTTAACAGAATGATATTAGCCATTCAACAAATATTCGCTGACACAAATTATTTAAATATTATTCGAATAAAAGAATCGGTAAGTTCTATACCCGGTGAGTTTATCTCCAGTAAGCAGTAAAATCGTTCTTAATCCAAAATATACAACGATAAAATAAACTCGTAATTTTATTTCCAAGAAAGATTGGACATACGAGTGCTGCCAAGAGAAAAGAACCCTCGGTTTTTTTAACTATATTATCTGATTCTTATCGGGCTTTAATTATATCGATATGGTTACATACATATAACAATAATTGAAATCCCGGAATCAGACTAATAATCAAGAATATACTTAAAAAACAGGTGCCAAATTTTCCCTTGGCAACACATAATTTCAAATAAATAGTTGTTACACATCATCGATTGTGATGTTGTTTCATGATCGCAGACTCAAAATTTGCGTTCAGTACCCGGGTATACTGTATAGAGAAGGGTATACTATCCGTACAAGAATCATATATATATAACCGACTTGTTCATATGTCCCATTTATAAATTTCTGTTTAGACCTGGTAACATACCCGGTATAAATTAAGGGGTGTGCTGTCAACCAGGGGGTACTCTACAAGGCGAAATATGGTAACAAGTTCAGATTAGTGATGCAGTAGAATCGTCCCAATGATAGTCGTCACATTGCCGTAACTTGCCGTAACTTGCCGTAATTTGTAAAATAGTAAGTTACCGTTACGGCTATAACGCCGTTACTTAGTATATTACTTACTATAGTTACGGCAAGTTACGGCAATGTGACGACTATCATTGGACGATTCTACCGCATCATTAGTTCAGATGTCGGGTTTTCGATTCGAGTCATCCGGTTCAACATAAGATCTAACATTACATAATGAACTAGCTCATTAGTATGTAATTCAACTTTGAAATCACTATCAAGATTAAAATCCTAATCTAACAGCTAATACACATATACATAAATATACCCATATCGAAAGTACATTTTCTAATTTTTGACCTAGGGGAATTCTTTTAGTGATCAATAAGAAATTTTACTCGAAGACTTACTATGATCGGGTTGCCAGAGTAACTCTATTTATAGTTGTAATTACGTCATCTGCTAATAACTTAAATATTATTGAATGCTACACGTCAACAACTTATCTGTCTTTTAAAGTTTAATGTACCATTCCTAGGGGTCCAGAAACTGGCTCATCAACGTTAAATTTAAATCAAATATGGGGTATCGGTATCGGTATTGTTTCAATAACTATATATCGATATCATTAACCATAATGCAAGTGTATTTAGATTAGCCAGGCTAACAAATATTTGTGAAATGATTACGTGCATGTTGTGCTAACCAAGGAGAGCAGGTACTTGCGTGGGAACGTTCAAACGCCGTTTTATATTTATTTCAATTTTTAGCATTTTACACAAGTTATATTTATTAACTAACTATACTATCTTAGCGTTATTATTAACGAATCGTGCTGCGACTAGATTTCTAGATTTATTATTATCGTTATCGTCATCAAATTTAAAAAAAATTACCTTTAATGTTGGTGAAACCACATATATATTGTGACAATTATTAATATTGTGGTGTAACTTCTACACATCTTACACATTCAAAAATAAATGTTCTTTGTCTCTATATTAAGTTTCTAAAATACTGCGAGCTGGAATCGACTGTACTGTCTAGGCGTGTTCTTTCCTTGCTTTATTACGTCTATATGCTTCGCGATAAGTTATCTATCTCGACACGGTAAGCATTGATTTTCGTGTTACTGTTTTGCTTTATTTATCTTAAAAAGGTCGTTCACCTTTCTTTCCTCATATATTTAGCTAGCGGCGCACGAAATCACAATGTCAGAATATTCGCTTTCTGAACCAGCTACTATTTTTACAACGGACGGCGAATTTGAGTTCAACACTAGCAGCTTGAACTTTGAAACCTACCTTTCATCGCCTGCAAGTGAAGAAGCCGAAGCAATAACTTCCTCTGAGGCTACTCCAACTTCTCCCCGAAACTCCTCTCCACAAGATACATCTAACTCTCCGACGAGCAATTCTCCAAACCAGCCTTCAAGGAATTCGAAACAAAACTTTTTATCTTTGTTTAAAAAAAAAGATACTTCGAACAGTATAAATACCAACCCTACAACCAAACCCATCTCTGCACTACCTCAACAATCACTGGTCAATGCAAATATTCTCGCGCATGATAGTAATTTGGACACTACAGAAAATACTGTACAAAATAACAATGATTTAGAGACTAATCATAACGTATCGCGATCTATCATTGGTAGCGTTAGTGTACCAGACCTCCCTGCATTGAACACTAATGCGTTAGATGATGAGTACAATGCAATGATCAAGCATCAGGCCAGTGATATAGGCAACCATGCTTCTGATGGAACTCATGGCCTGATTGATGACTTTTCCGGAGGAAAACCTTCAAGTGTTTCCTCTAAAAAACACAAAAAAAGAAAAAACAGTATAGTCTCTGAAAAAATGATTAAGGAAGACTCTGGATTTAAGGTAATAAATTTATTTCTCATATATTTTATTTCTCATATGTAACCTTAAATATTTACTGCATATGTTCATTTTGTCGATCCAAGATAAAGCAATATAATTTTTTGGTTTTAAACAATAATAACGTATTTTCTAAATTTATTTTCGGAAGCATGGGATAAAAATAGCTACTAAATTAAGACCCTGCATGTTATTACACCCATATTATTACTTTGCTTTATTTAAATTTATTGTCTATTTTTTATTTTAATAGAATACGATGAAAAATACTATGCGTAAAACTTCTACATTTTTCAAAAAACTTGGTAGCAAGGTATACTCAAATTTTTTCTTGTAATTAATTCTTATTTCAAAAAAAAATTTTTTTTCTTAGATAATATATTCATTTATTATATAACGTTATTTAATCCTCAAATTCAGCAAACCTCCGATTATTCTTCTAATCAAAGTGAACGCCCACCAATTCCAGATTTTCAAGTACAAAACTCTCAAATTGTATCTTCTAACACATCACATCATATACCAGCCACATTAAATGTTAAAAATGATTCTTTAATTCCGGAACCTCTTTCCTCTGCTACAACCATTGATGATAGCTTTTCAGATAATAGTGCAAGTATTGATGAAAAAGAATTGCTTAAACGTACATTACAAGAATACTCCTCTGTGTATGTTGATTATCAATTAGACGATGACAATGATCGAAAATCAAGTTTATACCGAATGTCTATATTAGGTGCTAACAAAAGTGTTCCTGATAACATTGGGAGAACTTATAGCTGGAATGTTCAATCTTCATATGATACCACTGAGAATATACCGATAAATACGAATTTTGCAACAAACTTTTTTGATAGTAAAAGAGTAAGCGGAAACACATTCATGAGTTTACCTGTAATAAGAAGTGAAAAGAAAAAAGCAGAATCAAAAATGGTATTGGAAGAAATAAAAACTTTTAGCTTATCTCGAGTCAAAGAGGAAGATAATGAAGATGATGTCATTTATAAAAAAGCCTTAGCAAAACATTCAAAAACAAATGTGAAAAGGAACACAAAGAATTCAAGTAAGCACCATGACGTAATAAAGAAGCACGTGTTAATTTGCAAATGATGTAATTTTATTGTAATACACCATAAATAATCTGAAATTTATGTAAATTTATCTAGTGAATAATGAAAGTGTATCCACTACGCATATTGATCTTAGATCTCCTTCCAGGAGTACTGACGAATCATCACCTAGTCGTAAAAGTAGTAAAAAATCTTTTCATAGCAGCAAATCCACAACATCTCTTTTTACACCAGGTTCTTTAATGGCTGAAACTGAAGATCACATTGCATTATATTCATCATTATCTGCACAACAACGAAGAGTCGTGTTGAATAAAAGTGCATCTCACGGTTCCATCAGGGATATGAAAGACGAAGATACGATTGTTGATAATAGAACATTGAGAGCTAATTTGGATGCAAGAGGTTTGAGCATGAAGCCAAGACCGGGAAGTGAAACAGGTACGAATTATCGTCTCAGCCAAGCTACGATACCAAAACGGCCGGATAAAAAATTGCCGGATATACCAAACATAGACTTAAAATCTGAGGCTGATGTGTCAAACTCTCGTTCACCGCATTGTCAAGCTTCCAGCATTGCCAGTTCTTGTTATGAAACTGCCAGCGGTTCAACCGCTACTCTTCATACCGCCCCACCTTCACCAGTAACGGATATTATAGATCCCTCTAACTCATCTGAAGGAACTACACCAAAAATACACGTTGACGACGTCTTATTTGTGTCTAGTCCTAGTCCAATTGAAGTTCCATTTGATGGGGTCCAATATTCATTTTCGGATGTTCCTGAGAAAGGTGCTGGCGAGGTTTCACTTTCTGAAGCAAAACTTGCCGCTAAAAGGTGTTTCGATGAAGACGAAACTTTTGTTAAAAAAAGTGCAATCGCAGAGTTCTTAGGTGGAACGTAAGTTCTCTTATTGAATTTATGTTCATATCCTTCATATTACTTACTAAATTTTTTATATAATATTGCAGGAAAGCTTTGCAAACTCAAGCACTGAAATTTTATATGGAATATTTCGATTTTTCAAATTTAAGAATAGACATGGCATTTAGGTATGTTATTCATTTTAGTATTTATAACAAATGTCAAGTACACTAATCTTAAAAAAAAAAAAATTATTTTTATTTATTTATTTTTTTTTAATATAGACGTCTGTGTGGAAAATTATATATAAAAGGAGAAACACAACAAGTAGATCGTATCTTGGAAGCATTTTCAATACGCTATTGGGAATGTAATCCAAAATCAATTTATGGTAGTGCTGGCAAGTATTTCGCTATTATATATCATTATAAATAGATGATCAACCTATATGCTATTCCATGACATTTAATTCAATTTATTCTTTCATTTTAGATATTGTACATGCAATTGCATATTCGCTTCTACTCTTAAATACCGATCTACATATCGCTCAAGTTTCTACTAAGATGTCACGTCAGCAATTTGTACGGAACACGATGGCTGCAATCCATGCTCAAATCAACCTGGCAATGCAAGGTCATAATGAATCATATGAAGACGATCAAAGTACAATAACGTCTGTTGATACAAACGTAACTTCTAGTACATCAATTACTGCACGTCCACGTCGTAGCGGAAGTATTAAAAGCTGGAGAAGCAACACAAATTCAAGCATGACCAGCTTATCATTCATGCCTCCTAGTTTTTCACGACAATGGGATTCGGAATTAGAATCACTCTTAAAAGACATATATACAGTCATAAAATCCAATCAAATAGTGCAACCATTTTCTGAACCTGAAAGAGCACAATCAGATCCGAACACACTTTCACCAACAATACAACGTAGTATGAGCCTTTTAGGACACCAAAGCTCTAGAATTAACGCTCTTAAGAAAGGAATTGCTGCTGCTAATGCGAGAGCTCGTAAAAATGCAAATGGTAAAGTTTCCCCAAGTCCTAGTTTTGGAAGCATTGGTAGCGAGTCAAGCCTCGGAGTAAGAAATCATATTATTTACTTGTTATTTATGTTCCATATAGTTTTATGTCTTATTTAACATATTATGTTTGATAAATTTAGGCTGATAGTTTGGCTCGTTCAAGTTCTCAAACGCTACCTACACTATCTTCATTTTCTTTACGTCACGCATCTTCATCGGAGACTGCGCTTACGTCCACAATAGCTGAGTGTAATGAAGATGAATTTGATGACAGGGCATCCATTGATTCAACATCCACTTCAGAGTCATTAGAGTTATATTTATCTGGTGCACCATATGCCAAAGAAGGATTGTTGGTCAGAAAACATTATTGGGATTCTACAAATAAAAGGGCCAAAGATAAATACTGGAAAGAATGCTTTGTAGTTGTTGAAAAAGGTGAAATACGAATGTACAAATTTGATACTCAAAATTCGTCCGGTTCACCTGGCGTTGGTGCAATAGGTGGAGGAAATTGGATGGTATTTACATCTCTTTCGAATTAATATATGATCATCATGTATTTTATTTAAATAACCTTTGAAATCACAAAATATTAGGCAAATGCAACTGCTATGGGTGAAGTAAGCCTCCGTCATAGTATTACCAATGCTCTACCTCCACCTGGTTATAATCGCTCTCGTCCTCATGTATTTGCACTTTCGATGTCCAATGGCGGTCTTTACTTTTTCCAAGCTGGTACAGCTGAATTGGTAGATGAATGGGTGTCAACATGCAATTACTGGGCAGCAAGAATGAGCAAAGAACCTTTAACTGGTGGTGTGAGTAACATGGAGTACGGATGGGGCAGATGTTTAGAACCAATCCTTGATGGTGATGAATTTTCAGATAGGAAAAGTATAATGAGCGACCATCGTAGTATAATGAGCGGTGGGTCAACTTATACTACTGATCGGATTGCTATTAATGAATGGAAAGCACCAATGCCGCCTAGTGTGTCTAGCAATCTTGATGAAGTATGTGGCTCGCTTTTTTTATTTTTTATTTTTTTCTAAAAAAAACTTAAATAATAATAATTTGAATAATACAATCCTATCTTAAAGGCTGGACAACTTGCCGCTCTGAAAAAATATAAAGAAGATCTTGAAGAAGAACTAGAGCAGCATAAGAATTTCTGGGATCCAATGTCAAAATTGGTAACTTGATTTTATAGTATATCTTCATACTTATGTGCATATTATTTTCATTATTAATATATTTTATCGCAAATATTTGATCTGAATTTTAGTTTAGTCCACGTTCATCAAATCACACAAAAGCCTTCTCAAATTGGGAGAAAAAATCTCAATGGTTATTATATGAAATTATTAAGTATACAACATATATCGAATGCATTGAAAATTCAATAGTTATTCGTGAAAAGAGAAGAAAAGAAAGGGCCAAATTAAAATTGAAAGAAGCCGAAATTAATGAAAAGGTCAATTCCTTAATTGCAGCTGAATCTACAGATGATGATGAGAAACGAAAAGAACAAAAGCGCGCAGAATTGCGTGCCCGTGCACGTTTATCGATGAAGTTACTTCATCGTGCAACATGGACTCCGGGTGATGGTTTTAGTTTAAATTTGCCTAAGGATTTGTTTGGTGAAGAACAATTGAGTGATGGCGAAGAGGAAAGTATTTTAGCTGAATCGATAAATCATAATACTAAGCCTAAATCTGGCACTGAGATAAAAGCTGTGATAGAAGATGAACGACGGATAGGGAATGTGAGTGATTCAAATTTTAATTCAGGAACTAAATGGGTTGATCGTTTTTCATAATTATTTATTATTATGGAGGTTGTAATAATATATGTAATAACATTTTGATATCAATTTTTTTCTTTAATAATAATAATAATTTTTCGAATACCCTTGCTAATAATATATGAATTCTCCCTTTTAAATTCGATATGTAGACTAAAAACCGGGTGGATTCTTACGGGGACATTTGACTTTAAAAAAAATATATATATACATTATTTATTGGTTCATGTGAACAATGCGTATTTTTTTGTATTTATATAATATATATATAAATGTATTACACGTTACAATGTAATTGTTTTATCTATTAAATTTACGTGTTCTAAATCTTCTGCTAAAAATCGTTCCATTGTTAAAGTGATATAATTTAAACACATGTAAATCTGTAATAAAAATATATCAAAGTACTTTACCAATGTATGTAATATTTTACTTAGGATCTTATTTTCGATTTTCAACGAGCCAAGTGTTATCTACCTAAATACCTAAAAGTTATTTATATATATAATTTTTTTTAACTTCTTTAACTTAAAATTTTTTAAGTTAGAAATAAAAAAGCTTTTATCGTTTATATTTTAAAATTATACACTCTTTATTCTAGGATCTAAAATTTATATGGAACTTACGAGTATCTAAAGGTCCAAACTCTAATAATTGGATTTAAAAAAAAAAAAAAAAACTACTTAATTGGATTATGCTTCTGACAAACTAATCAATAAAACAAGTGAATTATCTGTTGACAAACAGGCTATACTTACGTTGAAAATAAACTTTATAAACAGAAGTTGGCTTGAGTAGCCAAGAAATTTTTTTTAAAAAGAATAATTTAATAATTATTAATATTTTATTTTAATTTTAGAATTACTGGTAAAATTTTTAATTTTAAAAAACATTTACTAAAGATGATTTGTTTCTTTACTAACTTCATCTTATATTTTAAGGTACATAGATACATTATATGTATATTAGGCTATATAAAGTTAATTTTTTGGTTTACAATACGAAATTTGAGAAAAGAATGACCCACACTCGACTTTCGATTTTATTTTCAAAAAATACATATAAAAATTTTTGCCTTTATTTTTAAAAAAACCACTCAGATAATACGTAAACTTGAAATTTTATCCGACCAGGTTGAGAACTAAAAAATTAACTTTGCTTGGTCTTATACTGTATATACGCCTTTACAAAATAATATTTCATTTATAAAAAGTGTATATCATAAATACATTATATACAGGCTAGATACTAAGCCTTATGCTAACCTAAATTTGGGCATCTGATCCTTGTCTTAATTTGTAGTTGCATTCTAATTCTAGATATTAGCAAAAAAATATAACCATCATAAATCCCATAGGTGCATTTTAAATAATTGAATATCCATTATACAGATCATTTGATTTAAAATTTGCAATTAAAAATTATTTTATTTTTGGTTTAAATTCTACTAAACATATTACTCGCGGAATTTATGTGTGATTTGATGTGATTTGGTTTCGTTGAGAGCTATTAGTTACACAAAATTAATATGCAATAATTAGTAATTATGCGATTGGTGTAGTTTGCACTAAAAAAAATCGCATAATTTCCATATTCCTGCGCTCTACTCACGTTATAACGAAGTTATCGGGAAGGAAAATTCCTACAGTTATAATGAATATCCGCTATATCATTATATATATAATTTTCTAGATAATCACTCCGTTATAATGAGGTATTCGGGTATAGTGTAATTAGAGTTTGGAACCGGATTCACTTTTTTAATCCGGATTTATTTTAATTAGTAAAAAACCTGCATCGGATTTTAATTCGAATTTATAGTATAAATCCGGATGTTTCATGCATTAGCGTCTTCTCGTGATATAATAATTAACCAATTATAGTTAACTTTTATTTATAGTAATTAAGATAATGATAAGCGTTTTTTTTTTTTTTTTTACGTTTTTGTTAACTTTTATTTCAAACCATATAAATTGATGCTTTTTTTTTTGAGAAAAAACTGATAATATACTTTTTTTATAGTCAGTTTAAAGTTTTTCTTTCTTCATTGACCATCACTAGACTTTCATAAAAAAAAAATGAATAAAAAAAAAAAAATTAAATAATACTTAACAAAGAATTATTCATCATTCTCCAAAGGTGAAAACATAGGAAAGTATATAGTATTCTGTTTTAAAAATAAAATGTGATTAACTAAATCAGGAGTTAATCGAGTTCTTTTTGCTAAAATATTATTTTCAACATCAGAAAACAATAGTTCACTAGAAACTGACATAGCAGAGATTGAAAGATATTTATATACTAGTTGTGATAAAATGGGATAACTTGTTTGATGCTCTCATTACCAAATTAAAGAATCAACATTTTTTTGGTTCTTCAGGAAAATATAAATAATAAGTAACTTCATCTTCCATTTGTATATGATTATCAGCTCACATTTTTGAAAATATGTTTTTAGCATTATTGATCAAGTTCATTGTTAAATACAACACTTTAAGATTTTTATTAGTTAACTCTTGTTTAAGCTAAGTATATAAATCCTTTAAAAGGAACTTGGTTTGTGTTTTTTGCTATGTGCAATTAGGTTCATTCATAAAGAAAAAATTTTTTATTCTAGGATCTAATATTATTGCAATTAATAATTTTCATTAGGTATTTTTTATAATTTATCTAAAAAAAGATATATAGCAGTTCAAACTTTTTGAATAAGATTTTCTGTATTAACTGGTTGTAAGTATTCAATTTGATTAGTTTCATTTTTACTTTGATTACAATTATGATTCTAATCTTGATTCTAATTATAACCACAATTATGATCATGAGTTTTTCATCTTCTGACTAAACTGTTGATATATATGCTTTAAATGTTGTTGAGTTCTTGCTGTTAGAATATTATCATTATTATTTGTAGAACTTAAATCACTATTATCATTATTTTCTAACTCATTGTTCAATACTAAAGGCCTATAAATTAGATTTAAATAGATATCAATAATTTTATTTTCTTCAATCTTTGGTGCAAATACTTGTTTTAATATATATATATGAATAAATCATACTTAATGTTGAATATGTAGTACCAGATAATCTTGAGTTATAGCTTCAAAAGGTTCAAGTAGTTTGATCATTTCTTAAACAAACCTATATAAAATTACTAATAATATTAAAGATAGAGCTAGAGATTGGAATCAGTTTTAATAATTCAGATTTATTATATAATTTTATGATATTTTAGAATTTATTAAAATTTAATTAGATACATTTCTAAAATATTTTAAAATTCACAGGATAAACTTGAATTATTAAAATTGGTTCCAACCTCTAAGTAGGGTGTATTATTTTAAAATTATATATAAACTTGATGGTATATTTTTTTTGTAATTTTAATTATAAAAGTTTTTACTAATTAAATATTTTTTAAGCTTTTAAGTAAAGTTATAAAGTAGATTCTTGTGATCCTAACAGTAATAAAATTATTAAAATTGGTTTAAAACTCATCAATATATGAATTTTTAAAAATTAGATATAATAATTTAGTATTAAAATTTATTTATAGTTTTTTAAAAATTAACTAATTAAAGTTGACTTTTTTGTATAATCTAGAAAAAACATAGTGTTCTAGAAAAATTTAAAATATATACAAATATATTTTTTAAATTAAACATTTTATAAAATTTTAATATAATAAATAACTTTTTTAAATCTATATATTATTAAATTTTAATAAAAATTAATTAAAAAATAAAAAAGTTTTATTAATAACAAATTTTAATTTACTATATAAAAATTTATTATACTATCTAAGTCATATAAAAAATAATCTACATTCACCTTACCCTTAAATTAAAAATAAAAATAAAAACAATTATAAATTTATAAAAAAAAATATTAATAAGAAATAAAAAATAAAAAAAAAATTAATAAATTAACAGAAATTAGACTATAATGATATGTTCTAATTAGGATTTATAAAATTTATTATTATTGTTAATATGTCAAGTTCAGAATATGTATTAGAAATAATATATAGTTTAAATTATAATAATATAAATTACTGATTTTTAATTTAAACCATTTCTCTTTTATTATATAATTATTAACACATATCGTAAATGTGTACAAGATTGGTGATGAAAACTAAATTCTTAAAATTTATTAAGGTTAAGGTTAGGGTCAAAGTTAGAATCAAGAGAAAAAAATAGTTTAAATAATAAAATTAGTTGACAAAAGCTTTTTGTTAGAATATAAAAAATAATTTTTTATACTGATTTTTGAGCTAAAATCAATTTTTGGCAGAATAAACATTTGTCTTAAATCTTCCTAATCATATTATATTATATCTATCTGATTTATAGTTTAGAAAATATATACCACCAACCTTGTACACATTTACAAATTATGCAAATAATTAATTAAATTATAATTTTTATAACAAATTTTTTTAATATATATAAATTATATAATAAAAATTAATATATAAAATATTTTTTATATAGTGTGACGACCTAGTGAAGTGGTCAGGTTGTCAACCTCCAAGTGACAGATCTAGAGTTCAAATCCTATGAATGATGAATTTTGGAAAATAGGTCTGCGTTACAGTAACTGTCTCTGTCGATCAGTTGAATTGGTGTATCTGTAACCTTTGTTGCACCATCTCAAATAGGAGCTCAGAGCATCTATACTAAGTGTAACATTACACCCACATAGAGAAATAATAATAACCGATGTTGCATAAGACTTCGGTGCAAACCCATGATAAGACCACCAGGCACAGAAAGCAAAGGAACTGAAGAGTTGGAAACCCACTTGGAAATCCCGAGTAAGAAGGTAGCACAAAACTTTCAATAGTGCTGTCAGACTGATGAAAGCCCATGAAACACCCTCAAAGAAATAGATGAATAAACCAGATAGCAAGATATATAAAGAAGCATATAACCAACCAGGCTGCCAGAATCACCAAAGGAAAAGGATACTAAGATATACCATACTGGACCATCTGGATTGGAAGTCTGAGGAGTCCTGTCAGTCCTGAATAGCAGTTAGTAGGAAACAATAAAGAGGACATCGAAAAGATGTGTATCGGGGTTTTGAGTGAACCTTACAAGGGTAAAAGTGGTTTAATAGTTAGCTCTGACTGCAAGTGATGGTTTAGGCCAAAGTGTGACTGGGTAAGCTGTAAGTATGGGATACAAAACACACTAGTAGGTTTAGTACAAAGTTAAACATAACTTAGTGACTATGACATATCTTTACCAGTTTACCAGAGTCGCTGGTAGGGTGTGGTGGATGCAAGATCAGAGTGTTTAAATAGAGGATCTACAGGTGGGTTCTAGGTATAGCAACTAGTATAAAACCTTCAGGTGGACTACTTAAATTAGACAATAACTAGAGTTGTATGAGTGGCTAGTTGTACACTCTTTCTGTAATTGGCTCTGTGTCTATACATATACAGGTGCTGGCCAACTTATACTATCAGTAAAATCCTGGGTCGCATGTTCTCATCTTAACATTAAAAAAAAAAAAAATAATATTTTTTATATTTATATTTTTTCTTCAATTGTTAAACATAATTTTTCTAACTTTTCTTCTTTTATTTGAGATGTATGATCAGGCTTTGCTAACAATGATATTGAAATCAAATAAATTGAATTATGTAATTCAAGAAGTTGCTTTCATGTAATAAAAATAAAATTTTATTAGGTTTTAGTATTAAGTAATATATCTAAAGGACTTATTTGTATTTCAATATTTTTACTATCTTCAGTAATATGGCTTTCACATTGTAACTCCCTTAGTTATTATGTCTGCTTTGAAGATCTAAAAAAAAAGCTGCAAGCTCTTAATTTATTTATGTATATTTTTACATTGCTTTAAATCTTTATATTGTAATATGGTTGCTTAACCTAACTAGATTCTAAATATTTGTTTAATAAATATGTCGTCGCCAGTTAAAT